CCCGCGTAGCACGCAGCGAGCAGCGCTCCATTCATTGACGGACAACGGGGCACCAGGTGGGCCCAGTGGGGCGGGCGCGGGCGGGCGGGCGCGGGCGAGCGGGCCGGGCAGGCGGCAGCTGGTGCGGAGGGAGGAGGGAGGCCATCGATTCAAGGAGAGCGCTGCTGCTCGCTCGCAGACCCAACCCAACCCAACAGGTCTGTCGGTCGCACATGTCTGACAGGCCACGGTTGCACGGAATTCCTTTACCATTTGATGACAAATTTACGATACTGCAAATGATTCTAAAATGTGTCAGCGTCTCCGAATGTAACGAGTAGAGGGATGCTTGAAGAACAAGCCAGTCGCAGCACGTTTGTAGTTGATAAGATTTATTTCTTTTAGTACTACAAATTCAGTCGTCGACCTTGCACTTACACAAAATATATTACAATTAAAATGACAGGAAAACACTAGACTGCGTCGAGTTGTAAATACTTTCAACGCACGAAAAAAAAATAATTCATGCGTTAAATATTAGTAATAACATAATTAATCTCTCGAGAACTGGTTCTATGAAGAAGTGTCCTAGGCCCTAGATCCTCAGTCTTCGGTGTACTCGAAAGGTTCTGGGGGTTCGGGCTCCTTGTCCTCGTCGGGCTTGGGTCCGAACGCCGCCACGGGCTCCACGAGCTCCTCGGCGGGCTGGCTGCCGTCGGCCACCCGACGCACCATCACGATGCCACCGATGCTCACGTCCTTGAGCGGCACGTAATGGCTGCCTTCAGGCATGGCGATGACACGCAGCTGAGGCTTCACGACGCGGGCAGGGTTGTTCAACATCTCCCACGTCTCCTCCTCCTTCTTCTCCTTTTCCTCCTTCTCCTTCTTGGCCTTGTCCTCCTCCTCCTTCACTTCCTGCTGCTTCTTCTCCTTGTCCTCCTTCTCCTTGTCTTCCTTCTCCTGCTTCCTGTCCTCCTTCTCCTTGCTGTGGCGCGACGAGGAGCCCACCTTGGAAGACGACAGCGACACAGCAGTAGGCACGCGCTTCTCGTCCTTCTTGGAGCTGGACGCGGCGGCCGGCTCGGGGTCCACGTCCATGCGCTCGTCCTCGTCCTTGTCGGCGTCCTTCTCCTTGCCCTGCTTGTCCTCCTTGTCGGCCTTGTCCTGGGCGCGCGAGCGTCGCTCCTGCTCGCGGCGCCGCGCCTTGGCCGCGATGGACAGCACGGCCGTCGTCACCTTCTCCCGCTCCTCGCGCTTCTTCTCCTCGAGCGGCGGCGGGTACGCGTACAGCGCCGGCCGCCCGTTGGAGCGCACGTCCATCTTGGGCATCTTGAGGTCGCCGTTGAGCGCGATGAGGCACGTGGGCGAGAAGGCGAGGGCCAGGCAGTGCGCCAGCGGGAACCAGTACCAGTACTGGGTGAACACCAGCACGCCCACCACGGCCAGCATGTTGGTGTGGCCCGTGCGCGACTGCAGCGACACGCTCACGTTGCGCCCGCCCGCGTCGATGATGCCCTGCGCGAGGATGGCGCCGAACTTGGCCATCACGTCCTCGTGCTTGTCGACGATCACCTTGGAGTACAGCGCGCGGAAGTCCTTGACCTGCGACACAGAATGCCATTAACGCCCTGCTCGAAGAATAATACAAAGACAGAGATGCGGTGTCGTCGGCGAGGTGCCTCACCTTGGGGCAGCCCTGGTCCGTCTGCTGGATGAGCACCATGGCCGAGGCGATGAGCGCGCCCTGGCGGACGAAGTTGACGGGGTCGTTGGTCATGGGCTCCAGCAGCGCGATGGCCTCCTTGAGCCCGGTGCCGGCGCAGGCGATGCCCAGCGCCATGGCCGCCCCGTAGCGCACGTGAGGGTTGTAGCTCTCAGCCAGCAGCGACACCACGCTCGGGCACTGCTCGGGGTTCCTGCAAACAGAACAGACGGGCGGTCAGGTCAGGGTGTGCGGGAGGGCGGCGCGGAGCAGCGCGGAGCAACGCGGAGCAGCGATAATTCTCCCAGAATCGGGTTGCTTCAAATAGTTAGCGCCAATTCTACGAGGAGCAAGAGGAAATCTGTGGGACGCGGCAAGGAATTCCGTTGGAGAGGAAGGGGAAGGGGAAACAGTAGAGAGGAGGGGGACCGGGAACCGAGGAGGCGCAGAAAGAGAGAGAGAGAGAGAGAGAGCAGGGAATGGGCAAAGGAGAGAGGCGGGGGGTCAAGTGGGCCACAAACGCGATTGAATCACTGGCCGGACGACATGCGGAAAGGTAAACAAATTAAACTTGCAGATTCGATTCACAGCAGCAGCAGCAGTCGCCGCCACTGCCATCGCCTCCTCCTTTCCCATTCCCTTGCGCTACCTTTCCCACCGAACTCGCGGGTTTCTCTCCCTCTCTTTACAACTTCCGCCAAAGCGCTTCATGCGCCCCAGTTCAGCCCAGCCCAACCGAAACACCGAGTCAAACTGCGCTGCGAAGCGAAACGGCCAGGGCCAGGGCCACGGCCACGTGGACGTTTGATCGCGGGGAGGCTGGCGGGCGCCCGGCGCGGAGCGAGTAGGCCGCGTGGCGAGCACGGCGGTGCGGCGGGTCTGCCTGTCCCGGCGCCTGCAGCGGCCGAGTGAGGAGGTGGGTGACCCCCGGACCCCGGACACGGCGCACACGCTCTCTCCAGGGGCCGGTCAGGCCCCTCCCCGCCGGCCAGCCTCCAGACACCCGACCCTCTCGGTGGTGTCGGCGAGTCGAGCGCTCATGACAGGAGAGCTCCGGCACACGGCCCCAGTGTGCTGATCCATACCCCCCCCCCCACACACACACATAATACAGTGTACGAGGGAAACAACGGCAGGGTCGTAACTTTGCGCTAGAACAAGCGACGGAATGCTGCCGCCAAGCCGGGTCTAAGCCGAACCGGGCTGAAGACCAAGGCAGGCAGCCTGCAGGCAGGAAGTGCAGCTTGGGGGGAGGGGGGCGCAGGGGGGTCGCAGCGGCTCAATGGCATGAAAGGGGTCGCCCACCACCCCTCAGGGGCATGGTCGGCAGGGGGGCTCATTCAACAAGGCTAGCTATATTCCAACAAGCAAGGCGAGTAAAGCCAGCACAGACCAAACCATGAGCCAAAGCATTGCTGCGTTCAGTCTCTCCGCCCCTCTCTCTCCCCCTGCTCTCTCGCTCTACGACAGTTTAGCATCCCTTCCTGTCCCTCCGCTTAGCTACCGACCGATCAGAGGAAGAAACGAAGATGGAAAGAGAGGGGCAGATGAGTAAGGGAGAGCTGAGGAGGGGGATAGATGGTGAAGAGTTAGGCAGACGCGGGGGGACAGGGATGGAAATGGGGCGGGGCGGAGGCCTAGAGTCGTGGATAAAAAAAAAAGTGGAGGAGAGGAGCGAGGCAAAAGGGTAGGGAAACCGAGGGAGAGCCGCCGAGTGCAATTAGGAGGCAAAGGTCGGAGGTGGGTGGGGGGAGAAGAGGAGAGAAGAGGAGAGAAGAGGAGAGAAGAGGAGAGAAGGGGAGAGAAGGGGAGAGAAGGGGAGAGAAGGGGAGAGAAGGGGAGAGAAGGGGAG